AACAACTTATCTATACAATTTCAGAATTAGAACAGATGAGAATATGCTAAAAATATTGTTTTTTTTTGCGGAACCGGGAATTGAACTCAGGCCCTTCTGCTTGCCAGGGAAGCACTTATTCCACTGAGCCATCTCCCCGGCTAAAAGTATTATTTCTTTAAATATCTTTAAAAATGACTTCTCAGGAGCTGGGGAGATGGCTCAGTGGAATAAGTACTTCCCTGGCAAGCAGAAGGGCCAGAGTTCAATTCTTTGGTTCTGCAAAAAAAAAAAAAAAAAAAAAAGACTTCTCAGATCACATACACACAAAAGCGAAGAACAGCTATTTTAAGCACTGTCTGCAGACTGGCATCAGACCGGCAGTTGCTCTTTCTAGGTCTGCATCGCGATAAATACTGGAATTGAGAACATGGCGTAGGTGGTTTTACAGCAATCTGACATTGTCCTGACATCCAAGTAGTTGGCCAGTGCTTGCATCTAGGTGAACAGCACAGAAGAGGTGGGTGCTGGGAAACAGGCTCATCGTGCGGCGTTAAGCTTTGAATCAGTTTCAAACTGCAAGACCATGTAGCAATTTGCAGTACATTGGAAAATCAAACTGGTTCTGCCCCAGAGAGTGAGAGAAGCACAGTTGTAGAATTTATGTGAAAGGAATTCTCAGCCACATTTAACAAAGACATAATTCCTTGTACTCAATGTAACAGTGAAATCTGCGAAAGATCCAAATGGGGAAAATAATTCATTTTGTCATTGTAGGACGTATTGGAGGTGGACAGACAGGCTCCTCCTACTCGCTGGGTGGCACATCAGCTGGGGCTGGAGGCAAAGTGGCAGAGGACAGAAAGAGGGCGCCCTGCTACTGCGTCCGTGCTTTCTCCACAAGTCCACCCCGCAGGCTGAGGTGGCAACCAGCTGTGACGCCACATCTGACCAGTCGCAGCACTCCAAATCCTTATTGTCCAGAGGCAGAGGGCTTCCCGGAAGTAGCCCAGTGGTACAGCAGTTGCTTAGGAAAGCCCTGAGTTCAATTTCAGTACCCCTCAAAGAAGCCTTCAATTTGGCTGCCATCTATACTATGGTAGAAAACAGGGTTTGATAGGGAGTCACCAGACCATCAGGGAAACTAGAAACCTGAATGCTGAAATGTCTCAGACACAACAGCAGCGACTAATCCAAAGCTACATCCCACCTGTGAGTATATGTGCAGGGAACCCGGCAGCTGGCTCTACTAGGAACAGAGATAACAGAAGCAGGTCATTTCTGAGTCCTTCTCATATCCTGGTTGTTCAGAAGCTGCTCTTGGGGCAGGGGAAGACAGCTCAGCAGTCTAAGCACGTGCCTGGCAAACCCAAGGACCTAGGTTCGATCCTTGGAACCCCGGGCACACCATGCTGGCCACTGAAACTGGGTGTGGTGGTGCATGCCTATTTTGGCCCGACTTTATTAGGATGCCCTGAAGGGCCAAGACACTAAGAGTAGCTTGTGGTAGACTGAGCCTAGAAGATAAGCACCAGGGTGCAGAAAGAGCTATATGTAGAGGAACTGAGTCCTTAAAGGAAAGAGAATGGGGCATAAGTCCCAACAAGATTCAGCTCCTCCAAGAGAGCAGTTAACTGCCTAGAGGTCTATGCAGTGCCCTTTTGGGGCCTTGCATTAGTGTTCTCCAGAGACAACCAATGGGATACACAGAAAACAGGACAGAAGATTTATTGGGAGGATTGGCTGACATGATTTGGGGGTCTGAGAAGCCCCTCGAAAGGGGCTCTAAGCCCAATAGTTCAAGAACAGGAGAGCAAGTGTGTCTCAGCTGCCAGACAGGCAGACATACTTGTCTAGTTTTGTTCTCCCCAGAAGCGCAATGCCTGAATGGTGCCCTGCTGAAGAGGGCAGCTCTTTCTGCTTTAGTCTACACAGATTCACTGATGACATCCTCTGAGGACTCCCAGAACATGCTTTGCCGGGTGTCTAGGTATTCCTTCTTCTATCCAGTTGACACCTAAAAGTAACCATCACAAGGGGCACTCCTGTGCCAGCGGGGGAGAAAGTGCTGCTAAAGTGACTGTAATTATGAAAGGCCACACAATGGCAGGGTTCTGATTATTGAACGAAGCCATCTGTGAGTAAGTATGCTGCCCAGCCCAGGACAGGGATATACACGCGACAGCATGAAGCGGGGAGTGGGGGCACAGCTGCACTGCGGTACGGAAAGGACACCAGAATGCACTTCAAATCCCGAAAGGCTCCTTAAGGGGCCTTAAATATAATAATTATAATCAGCCTTCAGACTGACTGCAAAGCAGGCAGTTACACAGTTTTGTCACACGCTACACCACTGAATGGTCCGTCCGTTTTCAATGGATGAGCTGCAGGCTATGGGAATTATACTCGAAAGAAGTTATTTTAAAGGTCTATATATGAATAAAGGACAATTTAAAGTTCTGAAAATTTTTATTATAAAACAAGGAGGCAATTAAGCAGGAAATAATTTCATTCTTGATAAAAGTATATTGCATGTTACAAAATCTAAAATAAACTAGTTTACAATCCAACTGCTTTAAAGGATTTATGTTCATTGAAATTAGTCTTATATTGTGCTCTCTTCGGCAGCACATATATTAAAATTGAAATTAGTCTTATACTTGTGCAAAGATGTGATTTCATTACAGAAGGGGCATGCTTAACCGAAATACACACTTTATAGATGCTACTCAAGAGGACAATGTGCGTAACAGTAGTTGTGCTCACCTCTGTTGGTCTGGGGACACAGCGCAGAGCTAAAAGTGCCTGCCTGGCAAGCACAAGGTCCTGAGTTTGATCCCCAGCACAAAGAAAACAAAAACAAAAACAGATGCACTTTGTTAAACAGCTGTAAAAGCTATTGTCTGAAAATATGAAGGGTAGTGCAGAAGACATTTCAAACTATACATCCGGAATGCACGTTTTGGTTTTTTTGGGTTTTTCGGTACTGGGCACTGAACTCAGGCCCTTGCGCTTACCAGGCAAGCACTTATTCTACTGAGTTATCTCCTGGCCCCTGAAATGCATGTTTCTTTGTGACACCATTATTCTGCTAAGTAAATACAGTGGTCATAAGTTAAATCTATCTCTCACAGAACTGTATATGCAATTATATATGCTAAGAGTACGATGTTCCACATTCTGAGACTGTTTAAAAAAATGATTAAAAGACAAACTTATACTAAATTTCAACAAATTTGGTTACAGGTCTTTTTTATTACAGAAAACATATACATATGCTTAGAAACCTTAGTAGACAAAAAAGTTGCCATATATATTCCTTGCCAATTTTCATGTCTCATTTTTTAGTGTTAATTCTACAAATATAAAAACTTAGTAAATGGTTTGATTTTATAACCTTCAGAGCCATAATTTTAATACATATTGACTATGTATTTTAAAAACTGGACAAATGAAGAGAATATGAGATGTTAATCAGAAAGTAGTTACTTGCTTTATAAAAGACTCTTAAATATAATTATAATCAGTAACACATTCTTAAATATTCATGCATTAAAAATAAATTTAGCCAAAAAAAGCCACTTACATACACTTAAAAACATCAATCAATTGAAAATAAGGAGTATTTTTAGCCACAAAAAGCATGTGAATCTTTTAATAGTTCAAAAATAGAAGGAGCCTAAAGCAACTGATTTCTTAGAAAAAAATAAGATACATTCAAGAAATTAATAACCTATTTTTAAGCATTTTTTTTCAGGGGCAAGTTGTGGCACTGCTGAACTTCTATTTTTACTACTCTCTCAATCAAAGCAGACTGTATGGAAGAGTGTCAAGATTCAAAGAGGCAATTTTAATTAGTGTCTGAAAAAAAAAGGTTGGCTTCATATCCAAAAAGTAATAAAGAGTTAGTGCTCGAGTAGAATATATACTCCTTCAGCTGCAGAACTACCAGTTGAACAAAAAGTACCAGAGTTAGAGAAATATAAATCAGCACAGTCAGTCTGTATATGTTATCAAATAAGTTTTATTTTTACACTGTTTCACATTTGAAAAGTTAAATACACTAGAAAGCTAGACATAGTTAACAAGGATTTGCTCATCAACAAGCTCAGGTTAATAGTGACAACAGCTGAGGGATGATGTTTTAAAAAAACTACCTTGGGATGCTGGCTGGGGATTGGATCCAGGGCCTCCTGCATGCTCGGCCAGACTCCTCACCGAGCTGTGCCCTCAGCCCCACTTTTTTTTTTTTTTGGTCTTTTTGAGACAGGGTCACGCTCTGCAGTTCAGGCTGGCCTTGAGCTTACTTTGTAGGCCAGGATGGTCTCAAACTCGCTATAATCCTCCTGCCTCTGCCTCCTGAGTGCTGGGATTACTGGTGTTTCCACCACACCCAGCTCTTCACTCTTTATTAAGTTACTAATGTTCTCTTAGAGAAGAAAATGGGAGAATGGGAAAATAAAAAGTAAACTTGGAATAAAGAAGCTAAGGCACTTACTTGAATGGCTTGCAATATCAAGGAGAAAGTATGTTTTGTTGAGAAATTCCTTCTACCCAAAGCTAATAAATATTGCTCCTTCAATAGATGCTTAGTATCAAACATAACTGTAAATTGCCAACTGTAATTCCTTGTAGATCATTTGTTACGGTAAGGAAATAAATGCTCCCAAGTCGATTTTCCAGTACAGTACTATTGTTTTAGCTATAGTTAAAGCAGAAGCAAATAATCTTGTCTCTCAATCAAATATTATTTCCTTTATAACACTTGCTTTGCTCTTTCAATTGATACAGAACAAAAATTCATTACAGTACTTAAAAAATTCAATCAAGAATTTCTCTAAATCTATTTTATTTAAAGAGTTGACAGAAGCAAAATCAATATACTAATATGACAGACAAAACATAACCAAAACTAATTTAGCACATGTAATCATAAGCCAATAAAAATTTAATTAAATATTTCACACAACAGAGAAAGTAGGTTATTCTATTTCCCCTCAAAATATGCAAGCTGACTTTTAAATTACAATTTTTACATGCTCTACTCCCAAGTACTATGTGTGACAAGTCACCCTGTACTTAGGTAGCTATGGTAGCCTTTTCCTAAAGCTTGATGCTAAACACAAGTGAGTCACCACTAAGATGCACACGGACACCTGAAGTACGCTGCCTACCACTATCTGAATACAATGAATACAGTTATATAAGAATGAAATGAAAGCCAACAAACAAATACATCACATATGCACCATCAAACAGTTTTTAAGCTTGAAAAGAGCAAAGCATCCTAGGGTTGCCCTAAGAATAAATGTACTTTATATATCAGAAAATAAAAACATTGGAAAGATATTCCTTCCTAATGGAGTAATTTTGAGTTCCAAAAATGCTATTCTTACAGTACTCTAACAAGTAAAGGTTGAAAAACCTGTTCACTGAACAGGTATATAAGGCAAAACTAATGTATGTCATCTTACTAAAATGATACATCTAATGCTATCTCTATCCTGAATCTCTTTCAAAGGCCAAATTAGTTGTTTCAGAAATTTTTTCATAAATGAACATAAATAATTAAAGAAGCACAGCATTTATGACATGAAACTGTGTCCTAAAAGGTTTGTTTTGTCTTGTTTTTGGTACTGGGAATTGAACTCAGGACCTTGCATTTACCACACAGGCACCGTGCAACTGAGCCACACCACCAGCCCCTGAAGTTTTCTTATATCTTTCTGGATGTTCAAAATTCTATCACAGATTCATAAATAATATCATTTGTATTTTAGAATACATGTATCTACATGCAGAGGTATGTTTAACACCATCTACATATACCTTAGAAACTGGTGTACATCACAGTGTACATATACTTATTTTGACTAAGTTTTAATTTTTTACTTAATACTTCCATCAACAATAGTCTTTAAAATGTCCACTGAAAATATTTTTATATATAAGTAACAAGTTATTTTATTATCATTAAATGATTATCAAATAGATGGGTATACGTAAAAAAGATAATCATTATTAGACAGACATAAAATAACGAAATTCAATAACCTGTACCATGTTTCACTACGAAAGGGCTCACTTTTCATAAGCAGCAGATGAAAGCAGTAGCATGAAAGCTGAGGATACACCTTTAAGTATATCCTTAAATACTCTCTATAATTTTAATTTAAATGTCAGATTTTCAACATTTTTTTTATCGTAAAATTTCAGTTCATTAAACTTCTTCAGCAACCTACTTGAAGAATAGTCTATTATATAACTGTATCACTATGTATTTATTAAAATTATGTTTGAGAACTATACTGACCCTGAATACATTCAAACTCAAGATCGGTATTATAGAAGATTTATGGGGGAACACTGAAATAAGTGAAACCTTAAGGAAGAAACCTGTCTAGAATATTGCAGTGACAGATTTGACATTTTATTCAAGGACAGTCATGGTTCCTTTTCTGTTTCTCACAAAACACTGAGCCCAGGCAACTGAGGGGGCAGAAGGAGCAGCAGCATTGCGAGTGGCCACAGCTTGGTCTGCATCAGACACCAGACAGATAAAACCACATTTTACTTCAGGTACAGTAAGTCTTTGAAATGAAGGTTCTGTTATTTTTCAAGATTGGAAGGATATCACAGTGTTAATTTTATATACAAAGTAGGATCTGTTCCAGTATACTCTAGTGAAATAATTCACATATGGAGAATAATTAATTTTGACCTCATGACAAAATCTTCCATATTTTGAGTAGGTTAATTTGTCATCTTCTTCAAAAACCACCTATCAAAAGATAAGTATATTAAAAAGCTTATTAATCCATGTGTGATTGTATTTATACTGCTAAACACAAACTATAAAACATTTCATATGAACCACTTCAAAAGTGATTCATGATACCCACTAACCTCAAGAACTTTAAGCAGTGAAAAACAGTATAAAGTGTATTCAACCTTTAAAAGATTTAATCCTAAACTGTGATAAGCACTATTTTCATAATCCATTTATGTTTACTCTGAAGAACTATGTAAAAGCCTATCAACACTGAGAAATTGGACACATTATATTCTTACCAAATAGTGAAGCTCTTCTTGTGCAGAATCACTCCTAATTATCTAGTATGCAGACTCACCTAATGCATCCCTACCTAATATTCACTACAACAGCTTAGATTGCTTGAAGGGATTCTTTTTTAAATAATAAACGCTGGGGGCTGGTGAGATGGCTCAGCGGTCTAAAGCACCTACTTAGAACAAACTTAAGCCAATCAAAGTACAGGGACCTCGGTTCAATCCCCCAGCACCACATGCCAGCCAGCCCCGCCCCCTGGTGGGCTGAGCAGGCCACACACAAAAAATAAATTAAAAAAAAAAAAGAATCTTTAAAAAAAGAAAAAAAAAAAAAAAAAAAAAAAAAAAAAAATTAAAAAAAAAAAAAAAAAAAAAAAAAGAAAATAAACGCTGGGCCAGCCAGATAGCTCAAAGGACTAAAGCGCCTGCAGGGGGGGGGGAGGGGTGTATGGGTGGTGTTCGATCCCAGTGTACCATGCGGGCCCTGCCACCAGGGTGCACTGAGACAATGATTGAGACTGGGTGTGGTATCGCATGCCTGTAATCCCAAGGTTTGGGAGGCTGAAAACAGGAGAATCACTACAAGTCCAATCCATGTAGTAAGACCCTGTAGACCCTGCTACCAAATACATAATAACTAAATAAATGCTAAGTATTATTCTAATGCATACGAAAGATATCAGAAAGCCAACTCTTTTTTTGGCGGAACCAGGGATTAAACTCAGGCCCTTGTGCTTGTCAGAGAAGCGCTTATTCCACTAAGCCATCTCCCTGGCCCCAAGAAAGCCAACTTTTAAGAGTAAAAGGATGGGCTGGCAAGATAGCTCAGTGGTCTAAAGCACCTACTTAGTCAAGCTTAGGCCAGCACAGGGACCACAGTTCAATCCCTGGCACTATATGCTGAGCCAGCCCTGCTCTCAGGGCGGGCTGAGCCAGCCTCAAGAAAAAAAAAAAAAAGAGTAAAAGGATGGATTATTATTTTAAATCTATGCCTGGAATTACATGAAAGAAGTGGTAAAACAATAAATAAAAGCCAGGTGCTGGGACTACAGGGGTACCTGAGGAAGCTGAGGTAGGAGGATCGTTGCAAGGTTTTTTTTTTTCAGAACCGGGGATTGAACTCAGGCCCTTGTGCTTGCCAGGCAAGTGTTTATTCTACTGAGCCATCTCCCCAGCCCTCATTGTAAGTTTTGAGACCAGCCTGGAATACAAGATGAGTTCAAGGCCAGTCCAAACTGCAGTAAAACCCTGTCTCTGAAAGACAAAAAAAGAAAGAGAAAGAGAGGAAGAACAAGAGCAAGAGAGAGAGCGAGAGCGAGAGAGAGACAGAGAAGAGAAAGGGCTTGATCTTCAAAACAGAGCAGAAAGGTGGGTAGTCAAGAGCAGAACAGAAAGGCTCTGGGCAGCAGATAGCTACACAGCAGTAATTACTAACAATGTCTAACTGCATTCCATTCTGCCACTAATAAATCAAAGATCACAGTCATCAAGTACCAACAGAAAGCAGGTGGAGTACACAGCCTGTAATGCCATCCCACAGGAGGCTGAAGCAGGAAGATTGCTGTGAGTTTGAGGCCAGTCTAGGCTACACAGTAAGTTCAGGGCTGGCCTGAACTACACAGTGAAACTGTCTCAAAAAAAAAAAAAAAAAAAAAGGTGGGTCAGGGAGATAGCTCAGTGGAATAAGCACTTCCCTGGCAAGCGTAGGGGCCTGAGTTCAATTCCCTGGTTCTGAAAAAAAAGTACCAACAGGGAGAATTCAAAATATATGGGGCTGGTGAGATGGCTCGGTGGTCTAAAGCACCTGCTTAGAACAAGCTTAGCAAAGCACAGGGACCTCGGTTCAATCCCCCAGCACCACATGCCAGCCAGCCCCGCCCCCTGGTGGGCTGAGCGGGCCACACACACACACATAAATAAAATTTTAAAAAAACCAAAAAACAAAATATATGCAGCACAAAACAAGTAAGTTTATGTCACAAGCTTAAGGAGACATGAAGAAAAAAAAAAGATGGCAATTTCTAAAACTAATTTCCAAATTGGTCTTAGATGACAAAATACAGAACTACAACTATCTAGGAAGGGCCAAAAAAATCTTGGCTGAAACCTAAACAGAATATACATTACCACTTAGAATGATGTACTGTCTTTCTTTTTATTGGTACCAAGAATTGAACACAGGACCTTGTGTTTGCCAGGCAGGCGCTGAGCCACAGAGCTATATCCCCAGCCCCTAATCCCTTCCTAATACTTCTTCCCCATTTTCTCATGAGTAAAGGTATCCATTTCAGGAAACATCAATTAAAGACACACTTCTCCTGTTAGTCTTCTTGTTACCACATATACCGATATAAATCCACTGCTAGTTAAGAAGGAGGGTGAATCGGATATAGAAATTAAGATCCAACTAAACCCTACTATTAAAGTAGCTCTGAATACACTGATTTTTGTAGTTAACAAAAGCTCATTGCACACACTGAGCTTTTAGTAAATATTTCTTTTAGATGTTAGTCAAATTAAACTCAACCACTCAGCATAAGAATATGACAATTCAACTACTTTTTAGATTTGAGTTTTAGTAAACTCATTCAAATCGAATTATGGTATCTTTTGTTTATAAATGTTGAACTTATATAAGTACAGGAAACAAATGAAGAATTTGGGAATTAGCAAATAAACTTCTTGTGCAACAATGCCACAACAGGGCCGGGGAGATAGCTCAGTAGAATAAGCACTTGCCTGGCAAGTGCAAGGGCCCGAGTTCAATCCCTGTTCCACCAAAAAAAAAAAAAAAAAAAAAAAAAGCCACAGTATCTTCATTTTGTTGTTTTGTTTTCTTGAGACAGGGTCTTGCTTTGTAATTCAGGCTGATCTTGCCTTAAACTCACTACATACCTTAGGCTGCCCTCAAACTCAGCCTACTCATGCTGGGATTATAGGCATGTGCCACCTGCTTTTGTTTGTTGAGACAGGGTCTCTATGTAGTTCACGCTGGCTTTGAACTCACTATGTAGCTCAGGCTGGTCTCAAACTCACAGTGATCTTCCTGCCTCAGCCTTCCAAGTGGTGGGATTACAGGTTTGCACCACAATGCCAGCACCACACCTGGTTCAGCAAAGCCTTTCTTTTCAAGACAGGGTCTCACTGTATAGTTCAGGTTGCCCCTAAAGTCACTATGGAGACCATGCTGGCCTCACACTTGTGGCAATCCTGCCACAACCTCCCAAGTGCTGGGATTACAGGTGTGCACCATCATACCCAACAAGGCCTTTTTTAAAAAAAAATCTTTTATTTGTTTATTTGGTACTGGATCTCGCTACTCAGCTCGGACTTGGACTCAGACTCATACTGATCCTCTTGTCTCAGCCTCTCCAGCACTGCGTTTACAGGCATGCACCACCACGCCCAGGTTAGGTGGCCAGGATGGCGCACCTGGGGTTCCAGGGCCAACACAGCATGCGGTACTGGGAATCGAACCCAGGTCTTTACACTTGCCAGGCAGGAACTTAGACCACTGAGCCATCTTCCTAGCCCAACAATGCTTTTTTTTTTTTTGCGGAACCGGGGATTGAACTCAGGCCCTTGCGCTTGCCAGGGAAGCACTTATTCCACTGAGCCATCTCCCCGGCCCTCAACAAGGCTTCTTGTATACTGACAAAATTACTATTTTTATATGCTACTCCATTATTATGTAACTCAATTATGTTCTCATAAGTTTCAAATGTAAAAACTAAAGATCAGTTTCATTAATGATTACTTACGTGACCATTTGCAATGTCTAATAAGTCTTTAACCCTACAGCCTCTCACGGTCGCCACCTCATTGCAGATAGCATCTTCTACTATTAGGTAGTTAGCCTTGTAGGATGTCAGAATTTTATAAATATCCTCAGCAGATCGCTTTGAATAGATTTGATAAATCTGAAATAAATAAATAAAAACTAATGTGAAAAAACATTGAAAGCTTATGTCAATCACATCTATCAACTAACCACTTAACATTCTTAGTATTGAGCACTATATGTGGAAAATAAGGCTATTTATTAAAACTTGATTTCTGCCAAGAAGCTTATATTCATGTTGCATAATGATCACATTTAATATAAATAAATTAGCAAAAATTAATATGGAACAGCTGGGCAAGGTAGCTCAGGCCTGCAATCTTAATCTTGTGCTCAGGTGGCTAAGGGAATACGACTGAGCTTATCTCAAAAAACAGAAAGAGAAACAGAGACAGAGAGACAGACAGACAGACAGAGAGAGAGAGAGGAAGGAGGGAGGAAAAAGAGAGGGAGAAAGGGAAAGAAAAAGACAAAAATAGAATATAGTATACAATCTGACAACAACTACATAAAAATGTATAATGTTCCTTAGATCTGAAGTGAACAGAGTAAATGTTAGAAGTTGTCCAGAGGCACTAACATGCACAGGTGGAGTTTTACTGTTTAAACATTTGCTATGGAAATAAGCCAGATGTAGAAAAACAAGTACTACATGTTCTCCTACACGAAAGCTAAAAAAAAAAAAAAAAAGTTGACCTAAAAATAGAATAAAGGAGAGGGAGAGAGGGTGGGAAAGGGTTGATGAGTGAACTCTATGACATGTATGGAAATATACATGGAATTCTACAGGCATGTGCCACTGGACAGGTTAATACATTTAAAAGCTTTACTACTGTCATCTTTTATCTTTATGTAGTGAATAAAAACTGTATTATAGAAGAGTTTAAAAATAAAGACATGTCTGTTCAGGAATACATTTTCCAGGTTTATTTACATGAGAACATTTAATCCTAAGGTTAGTCTCAGTATATTCCATATAAATTTAAGAACTTGGGGCCAGGGAGATGGCTCAGTGGAATAAGAGCTTCCCTGGCAAGCGCAAGGGCCTGAGTTCAATCCCCGTTTCCGCCAAAAAAAGAAAAAAGAAAAAAAGAAATTTAAGAACTTGAGAGAAAATTTCTGAGGAGAAATAAGGACTGAAATATATAAAAAAGCAAATATATATGAGATGAGCTCAAAACATACAGTGAATGTTTAAATTTATTAAAAAGGACATTGCCATTAATTTCTGTTTATTTATTTCCCCTCAATTTATTTATTTTTAACTGGGAAAAAAAGGATATATTTAGAATTAGCCAGCTGGACTCAGTTTAGATGATCCCAGTTTTGTTGGCAACATCCAATGCATCATAATCAGGAGCCAGTCTAACATATGTCTTCTTCTCTCCAACAGGCCTGACTGACCTTGGCAACACTGATGTCATAAAGCTTCTTTACAGCTTATCTGATTTGCTGCTTATTGGCGCTGACATCCACAATGAATATGAGTGTGTTGTTGTTCTTGATCTTTTTTTTTTTTGTATTTTAGGGAAGGGTCTACAGCATGTTCAGGGTCTCACTACTAGATCAGACTCGTATGATCTGCCTGTACAGCCTCCCAAGAACTGGGATTACAGGCGCGCGCCACCATGCCCAGTCTCAATTGCCCTCTCAGGGCGCCCTGGGAGCGGGGCTGACACCAGTCCCTGTGCCTCCTTACAGAGGCTTTATTTAATTAATTAATTTATTTATTTATTTATTTTTGGTGGAACCAGGAATTGAACTCAGGCCAGGGGGAGCTTGATGATGGCATAGTGGTCAAGCCTGTTTCTCCTGGGGCATACTCTTCCGAGCGTATTTGGGCTGCCTCCAGAGCCGCAGCATCTTGGGATGGGGGATGGTGGGTGATGTCCATGTCTTTTTTTTGTGGCTGTGGATGCCTTTCAACACTGCCTTTTTGGCCTTCAAAGCTTTTGCTTTGGCTTCAGCTTTGGGAGGGGCAAGGGCGTCCTTCGCCTTTGGCACCATCTTGGCAAAAAGTGCCCCCCTCAATTTAAACACACTTATCCCATCCTTGCCACTTTCTGAAGCAGTTCTAGAAGTCTTCGAGTCCTTAGATGTGCTGTCATGGCGATCCTGATGTCCGGAATCAATTCAAAACAGTTATCTTTCATGGTTGCCTTGACTTTGGGGAAGAGCCTGAAGGCCCACAGTGTCAGATCTGGCGAGTAAGGTGGGTGAGGGGAGGCACTGTCATGTTTTTACGAGCTTGCCTCGCCACTGGGTATCAGCAGGTAGCGGCTATTACTGTACTTCTGATCATGTCTCGTAAAGATGGAAAGGAGGCTTCCAGAACTGCTTCAGAAAGAGCAGGAAGGATGGGGCATGGGTGTGACCCGATGGAGTGTTATGACCAGGAAGACCAGTGGCACAGTGCTGCTTACTGTAACAAGTTTTTAAAATTTAAACACATCAGGGGCAGGGGAGATAGCACAGTAGA